AGATTTTCGCCACAGAAGAGTTGCTTTTGTTAAGTCCTGATAGAATGTTAGAGCGGCCTCTTCAAAGTTTATCGGAGGTTTTCCTTTGATTGCTGACATTATTTGTATTTTGTCGTGTGCTGTGAGGCATCTGAGTATGACGTCTTTTGGCATTGTGGTGGCTGCGCTTGCTGGCCCAGGTAGGCAGTATATCCCCTCAATTGACAGCTTTTTTGCCACTGCATGTGGCAGGATGGAGGCCAGTAAGCGCCTGACATAGTGCGGTAGTTCGTCCGCGGAGACTGCCATTGGGATGCCCCTTATTTTTATATTGGTGCGGCGGTGGCGGTCCTTTATGGCCATCAACTGTGCAGATATAGCTCTTTGTTGTGACCAGACCTGTTGAACAGAGTTCTGGAACTCTGACACGTGTGATTGTATGTCCGAGATGTCTCTCTTGGAGGCCTGTACTCGGTCTGTAATAGCTTTCATATCCGGTTTGATAGGGGCCAGTTCCGTCGCCAGGATTTTGTGAAAATCTGCCAGTAAGACCTTCAGGTCGTGTCTTGTCGTCGGTGTGGAGTCGGTGTGGGCTGCAGGTGTCATCGGTTGTGCAGCCAGCGGGTGTTCGGGCCCCATTTGCTCATTTGAGTAAGTGTGGAAGTCGGGTCGCAGGGTTTTAATAAACAAACAATCTAAATAAAATAATTATAAACAGAAATTAAAAAAATAAGCAAGTATCAGATGCTGTTTACTGTAACTCAGTGATAAAAGTGGAATAATTGCACTGAAAGTTGCAATGTGCAGAAAAAATGTAAACTAAAAATAAAGTAACTAAAGGAACACTTATTCCATAACTAATTAGCCAGAGGGGGAGAGATGAACCATGTCTATATTTTTTAGGGATGTCCATGGGCAAAAAAATATGGGACTTCGACAATTCCTTAACCCTCACCCCTAACCCTTACCCTACCCAAAAACCCCAACCCTAACCCTACTCCTAACCGCAACCCTAACCCTACCCCTAGCCCTACCTACCACAACCACTAACACATCTAGGGGTAGTGTTAGGGGTAGTGTTAGGGTTAGGATTGGGGTTAGGGGTTAGGTGTAGAGGTTAGGGTTAGGGGTAGATTCCTGTCATTATTCACATAATTTCCCCACCCTCTCTTGCCACATTTCAGAAATCCAAAGCACTTCGGCAATTTGGTTTGGTACTTTGGCAATTCGGTTCAGCACTTCGGACATTCAGACTTTCGAAAGCATCTGAATATCCGAATTGTCAAAATTAGTCTGAATTTACATTCATAACAAAACGAATTGCTCATGTCTAATATTTCTACACTTCTCTATCCAAAAACCTTCTACTTGCATTCACCATCACAGGATTATATCTCCAAGCCTAAAGAAATTGTAAAACAAGAAAGCTGGTAAATTTGTACAGAAATAAACCTGGATAATGCAAACTTTTTAAATCATATTAAGCTAAGGAAATTATATATCTGTGATTAAGTGCCCTTCGCCACTGGTGCTTGGAGAGGACTAATGGCCAGCCTTTTGCCTTGTGACTATTGCCATTTAAAAGCCTCTATTTATGGCTATTGTACTTTGGAGACTGTTTCTGGCCCTTTAAATTGTATTGCTACAATTCTGCACTTTTAAAGTGGCACTACAGATGCAGCCGAAGTGTTGAAGTAGTCGAAGTGGCCGCCATTCGACAAATGAACACGTGGCGGTGGCCTTTTTAATTAAGTGTAAGGCGTTCAGCGGTGTTTGGTCATCTAGTTCATGGAAATGAAATTGGATACGCGATGGCAAGAACACCGCTGAACTTCTATTTTCTCGTGAACTTCAACACTTCAAATGGAGTCGAACGGTGTTCAACAATACGAATGCCACATTAACATTGCTATTTGCATGAACGGCCCCCATTCGTGTATTTCAACAGTATTTAAACTAAAGTGAATGGACCGGCCGTACAGCCCAAATCTCTGGAACTGTTTTGGAAAAATGTGTGCGCGGTAGGTCAAAATGGGAATTCCAGCTATCTCCCGAACGGCTGAACGGATTTGGATGAAATTTGGATATGTTTGTTCCCTAACTGTTTCTAAAAATTTAACTTTTATTAATATTGCATGTATAATTTTAAAGTTATAAGAATTGTGTTAAAACTGTATATTTTCCTGCCTGTGATAATTATGTTAGCCCATTGTGTTCAGTAATTATATCACAGGCAGAGGGGGAGGATTTTGCTGTAGTGAATGGGAGTGTTTAACTGTGTGTCTGTATATGATTGGTTGTTACGTTTATGTCTTCAGTATCCAACAAGGTCCACGTGGGTGGTAACCTTGTTGGAAAATGTGTATAAAAAAAGCAATAAAGCCTCAGTGCATTCTGTTCCTGTTTGACCCTTAACACAGTCTTGTCTCTAGTGATGTTGCGAACCCGAAATTTTCGGTTCGCGAATGCGAACTTCCGCAAATGTTCGCGAACCGGGCGAACCGCCATAGACTTCAATGGGCAGGCGAATTTTAAAACACAAAGGGACTCTTTCTGGCCACAATAGTGATGGAAAAGTTGTTTCAAGGGGACTAACACCTGGACTGTGGCATGCCGGAGGGGGATCCATGGCAAAACTCCCATGGGAAAATTACACAGTTGATGCAGAGTCTGGTCTTAATCCATACAGGGCATAAATCACCTAACATTCCTAAATCACAATGGATATGGATTGACACCTGAAATATGACATATTGAAACCTTGAAATATGGATTGACACCTGTCCTCAGAGTCCCTGATACACACTGACACAGAGCAGAATAGAGACTGTTCCTCCTACATAGGGTCACTTGGCAGATATGGATTGACACCTGTCCTCAGAGATCATGATACACACTGATACAGAGCAGAATAGAGACTGTTCCCCCTACATAGGGTCACTTGGGAGATATGGATTGACACCTGTCCTCAGAGCCCCTGATACACACTGACACAGAGCAGAATAGAGACTGTTCCCCTACATAGGGTCACTTGGCAGATATGGATTGACACCTGTCCTCAGAGTCCCTGATACACACTGACACAGAGCAGAATAGAGACTGTTCTTCCTACATAGGGTCACTTGGCAGATCTGGATTGACACCTGTCCTCAGAGCCCCTGATACACATTGACACAGAGCAGAATAGAGACTGTTCCTCCTACATAGGGTCACTTGGCAGATATGGATTGACACCTGTCCTCAGAGTCCCTGATACACGCTGACACAGAGCAGAATAGAGACTGTTCCTCCTACATTGGCTCACTTGGCAGATATGGATTGACACCTGTCCTCAGAGACCAAGATACACACTCACACAGAGCAGAATAGAGACTGTTCCCACTACATAGGGTCACTTGGCAGATATGGATTGACACCTGTCCTCAGAGCCCCTGATACACACTGACACAGAGCAGAATAGAGACTGTTCCCCCTACATAGGGTCACTTGGCAGATATGGATTGACACCTGTCCCAAGGATCCCTGATACACACTGACACAGAGCAGAATAGGGACTGTTCCCCCTACATAGGGTCACTTGGCAGATATGGATTGACACCTGTCCTCAGAGACCATGATACACACTGACACAGAGCAGAATAGAGACTGTTCCTCCTACATAGGGTCACTTGGCAGATATGGATTGACACCTGTCCCCAGAGACCATGATACACACTGACACAGAGCAGAATAGAGACTGTTCCCCTACATAGGGTCACTTGGCAGATATGGATTGACACCTGTCCTCAGAGACCATGATACACACTGACACAGAGCAGAATAGAGACTGTTCCCCCTACATAGGGTCACTTGGCAGATATGGATTGACACTGTCCACAAGGACAAGTTGCAGGCTTCCTGGCAGGGCCCATACAAGGTGGTAGAGCAGGTTTGTGATACCACCTTTGTGATTGGTGCGGTCACAGGCACGGGAGGCAAGCGCATGCTCCATGTGAACATGCTCAAGCCATACCACGAAGAGGTAACCGCGATCTGTGCACCTGCCACTGAAGATTATGATAATTTGCCACTCCCAGATCTCCTAGACCTAGAGGGCCAGAGCGGAGACCTGGGAGAAGTACAGTTAGGAGAATGGTAATCCAGGACAAGGGGGCCACGTTTTCCAACCTACCTGGGTACAGTCCGTTAACCACTCACAAAGTTGAAACCCTAGACCAGACCCCCCTTCGCCAAACCGCCTATTGCATACCCGAAGCAGTTAAAGAAAATATGCGGAAAGAAATTGAGGAAATTATGCAGTTAGGGGTGGTAGAACACTCTGACAGCCCCTGGGCCTCCCCGGTAGTACTAGTACGGAAACGGGACGGCACGACTCGTTTCTGTGTAGACTACCGGAGGCTAAACGATAAAACAACCTCAGATGCCTACCCTATGCCCCGGATAGACGAGCTCCTAGACAAAATGGCCAGAGGCCAGTACCTCACCACAATAGATCTGTGCAAGGGGTACTGGCAAATTCCATTAGCCGAGGACGCCATCCACAAGTCGGCATTTGTCACCTCGTTTGGCCTGTATCAGTTTAAAGTCATGCCATTCGGGATGAAGAATGCCCCGGCTAACTTTCAGAGGATGGTAGATCGGCTACTGGATGTGTTTCAGGAGTATGCCTTCACCTACTTGGATGATATAGCCATTTTTAGCTGCTCCTGGCCCGAACACCTGACCCACATAGGAGCCGTACTAGACCGGAATAGGGAGGCCGGACTAACCCTAAAGCCCAGTAAGTGCCATATAGGAACGCGTAAAAACCTCCCAAGATAGTAGTATGGGCCCCAGAGTGTGAACAGGCCTTCCAACAGCTCAAGACGGCGCTCATTAAATCACCTGTACTTTCTGCTCCTGATCCAACTAAACGCTTTCTCGTCCATACAGACGTTTCTATGTTTGGATTGGGAGCAGTACTGAGCCAAGTCGGAGCAGATGGCGGCGAGCAACCCGGGGCTTATCTAAGCCGGAAACTTTTGCCCAGGGAAGTAGATACACTGCCATTGAAAAGGAGTGCCTGGCGGTGGTGTGGGCCCTCAAAAAGCTGCAACCTTACTTGTATGGACAACCGCTTACCTTACTCACAGATCACAACAAATTTGGGGCACTGCGCGTGCAATCTAATGTGCCACCAGATAGGAGTGGTGTGTTAAGTAGTACTATTCTTATCAGTTTAATCCCTGTTACGTCCCCTATCCGCTGATGTGGAGCAAGACGCAGCAGCAGAAGAGGACTCAGCCGAGGAGGTTATGGAAGAGGATGGAGTAGGAGGACTAGAGGAGGTGGCAGCAGGCCTGCCTGCAAGTCGTGGCGGTGTCACCAACTCCTCTGCAGAGCCACGCATTCCATGCTTGGCAGCCGCCAGCAGGTTTGCCCAATGCGCAGTGTAGGTGATATACCTGCCCTGACCATGCTTTGCAGACCAGGTATCAGTGGTCAGATGGACCCTTGCCCCAACACTGTGTGCCAGACATGCCATTATTTCCTTTTGCACAATCGAGTACAGGTTGGGGATTGCCTTTTGTGAAAAGAAATTTCACCCGGGTACCAGTGAGTGAGTAGTGGCACTGGGCACAGTATCCACTGTGAGCCTGACACACCCGCTGGCAGACAACTAACTGCTATTCAATCTATAACAGTGAA